TCCGTCCCCCGCCGCCGCCGCCGTCGGGGCTGACCAGCGAGTAGGTGACTCGGCCGTTGCGGCCCAGGTCGGGGTCCGAGGCTCGCACGCGGAGAAGCGAGGCCCCCGCCGGGTTGTTCTCCGCCACGTAGGCGCTGTACGACGCTTCGTCGAAGAGCGGCGCGTTGTCGTTGACGTCCGAGACCTGGAGCCGGACGGTCTGGGTGGTGGCGAGCGGCGGAGCGCCCTTGTCCGTGGCCGTGACCGTGACGTTGTAGTCGGGGCTGCGCTCTCTGTCCAGGGCGCCGGCGGTCACCAGCTTGTAGTAGTTCTTGGAGGACGACACCAGCTTGAAGGGCAGGTTGTCCGGAATGCGGCAGGCCACTTCTCCGTTTTGTCCCGAATCCGGATCATTGACATGGATCAGTGCGATCACGGTGCCGCTCTGGGAGTCCTCGGGGACGGGGCTGGACACGGAGGTGAAGGTCACCTCGGGCGCGTTGTCGTTCTCGTCCACAACCTCGATCTCCACTTTGCAGTGGGTCACCAGGCCGCCGCCGTCCTTTGCTTCCACTGCCAAGGTGTAGGCTGCTGCTTCCTCGAAGTCCAGCGGCTCCCTCACCGTGATCCTCCCCGTTTCCGCCTCCAGGCTGAATTTCTCTCGGACCTTCCCGGGAACTTTGCTGAACCCGTAGGTGACATGCGCATTGGCGCCCTCGTCGCTGTCGGAGGCGTTCAGCTGGAGCACGAGGGAGCCCGCGGGGGCGCCCTCCCGCACGCGCCCCTTGTAGACGTCCCGGGTGAAGACGGGCGCGTTGTCGTTGGCGTCGGTGACGTTGACCCAGACGCGAGCCGTGCCGGTTCTGGCGGGCTGCCCCCCGTCCACTGCCGTGAGGACCAAGTGCAGCCCGGGCTGCCTTTCCCGATCCAGAGGCTTCTGCAGCACCAGCGCCGCGTACTTTTCCCCGTCCTGGCTCTCCCTGACCTCCAGCACGAAGTTGGCGTTGGAGCTGAGCTGGTAACTCTGCAGGGAGTTGGAGCCCACGTCCGGGTCTTCTGCATTTCCGAGGAGAAAGCGGGCTCCTGGCAGCGTCAATTCATTGATCTCGAGGGTATTTTTATCTTGTATGAAGCGCGGCGCGTTGTCGTTGATGTCCTGGATCTCGACGTTGATGTGGAAAACGTTCAGTGGATTTTCCACCACGGCTTCGAAAGCGAGAGCGCAGAGCGGGGCCTTCCCGCAGATTTCCTCCCGGTCTATCCGGTCACTCACGTACAGGTTCCCGTTTTCGCCCTTCACCGTGAAGTACTGCTTCTCCGAGATGACACGGAGCCTGCGATCGGGCAGTTCTCCCACACTCAGTCCCCAGTCCTTGGCGAGATTGCCCACGAGGGACCCTTTGGGCATTTCCTCGGGGACCGAATAGCGAATCTGCGCCGAGACCGCCCCGCAGAGCAGAGCCAGCAAGAAGGGAAAGGACAGTACTTGCCGCCCGGCCTCCCGGCCGCTCTGGCTGTGCCCGGCTTCCATTCCCGTCTCCCGGAGAACGCTGTCCTGCTTCTTTCTTTTCTCCGTGTCGATCGTGTTAGGGTGTTAGAAATCCCAGGTAAACGACAGAAGGCAGAGAACGGGTGAGAGCACTGGGTCCGCGGTCCCTGCTCAGTCTCTGTCTCGAGCGCCTTGCTGTGCTTTCCTCTTCTGGGCGGCCCCGAAGGTCTCTCTGCTTTGCTTTCTTCCTGCTCTGAGCTGTCTGAGCAATCTCACTGCAGGAGGCTCCAATGGATCCCAGTCTGCAGCGCCGCTGCGTATTGGCCAACAGCGGCACTCGGAGTCGCAGTCGGGGAACTGCAGAGATCTGAGCAGGCGCCGCTGTGGTTTCACTAACAATGGAGCAAAAAGGCAGATTCAGAGTGTGTTGACTATTGTTGTGCAGGGCAAAATTTGTGCCTCAGAAAACTAAATGTCAGCTTGAAACACTGCTATTATATGTGTGAAATGCGTAGTTATCGGTTTAGTATTACTCTGAAAATCAGTCGGGTTTTCCTTTTCCTTTGATGTCATGTATCCATAAACATATATGAATTTGTAATTAAGACTATATTTCCAAGATGTTTAACCCTTTGCCTTCCACAGTTACACACAAGCGTGTGTGATCAGGCTTGGTGGCCAAAGCTTTTTGGTATGTATGACACATGTTACTCTGAGTTCTACATATTCCATGTTACTCTGAGTTCTACATGTTCCCATTTCCGTCTTGAGACTTATTTTCCATTTAAGTTTCTTTTTTTCTTTCAGAATTATCCGAGTACTCACAGTATCCATAGAGGGCTTAATTCCAATAGGAATGCTTTCCATTTTTGCAAACTGTACTATAATTACAGACAGCTCTTATGTCCTTTATACGATCTCGAATCCGCCATACTGGCACCCGACATTTGAGCTATCCCTGAAAAGTTAAATGCATTGGTATCCGTGACATGGAAGAAATGCTTTTTGAGACAAAGAGTAAACAAAAAGGGAAAAGAAAAGTCAAACATTCCAACTTTAAGGAAAAACTGATCTAACTACACTCACATACCCACGCCATCCTAGCAATATTAAGCGGCCAGTCTTTACTAACAATTATTACGTGCTCAAGGGAACCACACTGCGTGTTGAAAATGACTTACTAGGATGTTTTAGATTCTTAACTCAAATATTACTCCCACAAGGGTAAAGTACCTAATCATGAACATATCATGATTCCTATGTTGCACCTTGTCAGTACCAAAATGCTGGAAAAAAGAGGCTCTCACTGCCTCCTCGGTATAAATATACCGTTGTTTACCGTAATACCATGGATATGGACTGTTCGTATATGTGCCATTCGATAATTTCGGGGAGGCGTATATTTGGACTGATACACCGATCGATACATCGTGTGCTCTAGAAATATTAATTCCTAAAATTATACACAAACTTCTCTGTTTCTAATATGGTCAACTGATCATTCTGCTTGAAGATACCTTCGATTAAAATAGCTACATCAAAGCGCTTATAGGCGCTAATAGTCATAGCACTTGACAGCTTAGAGCAGGAAAGGGAATGACGCATTCGGCGTAAACTGCACTCTGTACAAGTACCCTCTAAAACCTGAGTCTATTAAAGAAAGCCCTCAAGAGGAGGCCCAAAGGGGACTGGCACACAGAACCCTAGATTAGAGCAACAACTGGGAATTTAATGACCCTTCCAGGACAGGCTGGGGTTAAAGAAAGTCTTGAAATGTATCGTTATTGAAAAACACCAGAAAGAGAATGAGATTTGATGGCTTTTGGCAATATAAACGAAAATATAAACACAGGTTTCCAGGTTCAAGTAACACACTGCTCTCAGAATTACACTGTTACTATCCAGTAAAAACGGAAATGTAACGACCAAATGATTAGATTCAAGGATCACATTTTAAAAGAATCCCTAGAGTCTAGTCGGAAGGCGAAACTGCGAAAGATAAAGACAAGTGGGCTTATAAACATAAAAGCCCCCAAACCTGTATATAACAGTTACAAATAAAAAACACCAGCAACCTTAGACATTGATGATCAGATTAATGTACCAAAGTTCAACAGATCTGGTACAGTAAAGCCATAGACGCAAAGGAAAGCCAGTCTTTAACTTTCGTTCCGAATCACACGTAAAAAGGCCTTCCCCTAGTCAAGCAATTTCAACATATCTACGGCTACTCGCCAAGACCGACTAAGAGAAGTCATAAGGTACAAAAACGTCGGCTCACCTGCAGCGCAGCCTGGTCCGCCTCACACACCTTTGAATCCTTATCCACCGGGGCAGGCTCCTTGCCCTGTCCCGCCGGCGGCCGAGGCAGGGTGCCGGCAGAGCTGGGCGGGCCGAAGCTCCACTGGCTCTTCCTGGAGCCCGCCGTGAGAGACACGTCCTGGGAGTAGGAGTGCAGGAAAGCGCGGACGCCGTCGATGCCCGCGAAGTGCGAGACGGGCACCCCGGCCAGGGCGCCGCCGGCCGAGCCCAGCAGCTGCGCCTGCCGCCAGCGGT